GGGCCCCTATTTTGAATTTATCATTTAGCCCTAATTTGAACGTTGAACGTACAACATATCTCTTAACACCCACCCCTATCTCCCATCCCTAGCTTCCACCCCTATTTCCTATCTCTTACCCCTACCTCCGACCCCCTGTGACGCTTTTGTAAAGAACGCTTTTTTGGTAACACTTTTTTCGGTTATGTGCCAGAGCTAAGACATGAAAATGTCAAAAAAGGCACGGCGTGTTGAACGGATTTCCACTAAGCGCGGAAGACCTTGCGTTATAGCGTGCGTCACGAAAATGTAGCCGTTCAACTCGAAGGGGCATGCGCTATTGAAAGCTTTTTCGTTCAACTTGTGGTGCGCTATGACGCATGCATCTAACGCACGAAAAAGCGCACTAGTGTAAACATACCTTACAATCATTCTTCAATCTTGCATACACTGGAAATCATTATTTTGGTAGTGGTTACTTAATAATAAATTTAAAAAAAACTTAAATATATTGAAACTAATGCTAATATTTTTTACAAATTATAGTTTATTAGTTTTGATTGAAATAAAATGCATAGCAACAATTCACTACTATAATTTATGCAACAAAAACAGCTAAATTCATTATTTTTGGCCGACAAATATTAATAAGCATGTTATTAATGAGACATAAGACTACTTTAGAAAATTAAGTACATTATCGACAGATTGTGACAATTTTTAAAATATGGCTAAATAGCCAGGAAATAGACTCAACCGTTTACTGTTAACCATTAAACCAATATATATTTTTTATAAAATGATTGCAATTGAAATAATTTAATTTGTAAGTACGTCTGTTCATCAGTTCATCAGGGTTATAATCATTAATATAAAATTGATTTGTAAATATTGTTGGCTGGCACATGCACCTTAACCAGTAGCTACTTGATTATTGCATATTGAACAAGTTTTATTTTTTTACTTGCTCAAAAATATTATGGCCACATGTGTATTTTCTGTCAACAATATATTTTTATCGTTTAAACAAATTTGTTTTAAACTGTTTTTCTATAATAAGTAATATAAATCGTAGTAGGCTCGTCAACCACACAAACCAAAATTTTCAAGGCGAAATACCAAATATCGAATATTTTATTTTAGTTGAGTTTACCAAGTAGTTATATAGGTTCATAATAAGCATTATATAAGCAAATTACACCATATCGGTCCGTTAATCGGCGCGTTATAATATACCAATTGCCGCACAACAATAATTGTGTACAATTACAAAAGTAACAAGTAATATACTTGGTTTATGATCGACAGCTTATAATTAATAAATCCACAACTCGAATTACCAAAATCCGAATATTTTATTCTAGTCGAGTGTACAAGCAGATTCATAATGTATTATGAGAAAATTGGACCATAGCAGCCAGTTAATCGGCACTTTACCATAAACCATTACTGATTTACTTCAGTTCAGAGAAAGGTTAGGAGAGGAACTAATAACAGTGGAAAAATTTCCAAATCTAGTCAAGGAGTATTAGGCATAAAACGAGGGCGGCTAAGAAGTTCTTCACCTTCGATAAATCCTATAGCCAAAAAAAGCCTAAGATTGGACAGTATTCTAAACGAAACTATGAAACTCGACCAAATAGGTCATTTTCCTGTTCACGATAAAAAGCCTCATCCACTATTTTGCAAACTACCGGGATGAAAACTTAAAAGTCATTGGGTTTGCTCAAAATGCAACGTTCATTCAATAATTGTTTTTTCAAATACCACCATGAATAATGTTACAAAAATACAATTTTACTGGTGATATGGTATGAGTTGTTTTGCTTCAATAAGTGGTCTAAGACGCTAAAGAAGAAGTTTTTCGAATAGTTTTGACATGCTTGGTAGAAGCGATATCGACCGATAAGAGGTGGTTTGTTCGGGCGGTTTCCCAGGTTTGAGCAACATAATTACTTCCGCTCTTTTCCATTGCTCGGGAACAAATTTCGTTCGCAAGATGGCGTTGAAGATGTGAGTAAGGTCACATCGCAAGGATGATTGCCTTTTTAGGTAGCTCTTTAATGATGCGTGGGCTGATCTCGTCGTATCCAAGTGCTCTTTCGTGTTGATGTTGGTATCGATTTCATAGGCTACTTCAAGTGGTGTAAAGTGCCGTATAATTTCTCTTGTAGAAATGAGTGGCTGACATTGAGTGCTGTCAAGTTCAGAAATTATGTCGTTTGGCTGAAATAAACGTTCGAGATGATGTCCGTATACTTCAGCTTTACCTTGTTCACTGCGCGCCTAAGTGCCATCTTCCTTTCGGATATATATATATATATATATATATATATATATAATTAAGAAAGATAAAAGATTCCCAAGTAATCGTACCAAACCATCATCTCCAGAAGAAAAAATTAAGTCTCACTCTAAGGTAAGAAAAACAGTGAAACATTCAATAATTTAGTTTTAAAAAACATGTGAAATATTCAAAATGAAAGTGATAATATTCAAACGAATAGTACTTTGATTACCTATATACAAAATAGGTTTATACAATCAATTTTCATTTGTTAATTCAGTTAACAATATTTTAAACCAAATAATGTTTCTTATAGCTTCACAAATTGTGACAAATTCAGCTTCAGTCGAACTTAGTGAAACTGATGTTTGACGCTGAGAATTCCACTCTATTCAACAAAGTCCCGCAACGAATAAGTGCCTTGACGTTGATGTTTGAAGGTCGCTGGCATAATCCGAATTGCTGTAGACATTCAACAATAAATTATTATCTGATTTATAAGACAAACTAGAATCTAATGTATGTTTAATATAACGAATTATACGCTTGACTATTTGTCAGAGTGCATTAGTCGGTTTTGTAAGGAAACGATAATTAGCACAATTTACTGCAAACGCTAAGTCTGGTCTGGTAATTTGTGACAGTGACCCCACTGTTTGTCTATACAAATTATTACCTTGTTATAACACCTGCATATCTGTGTAATCGAATTATTCAAATTACCTTTTGTAATTTCAAACTTTTTTTCTAGACTTGAAACGAGTTCCTGTGTTTTTGTATTACTGTTTGAAGCAATTAAACTATCGTCCACGATTATTGCTACAAAAACTGTTCAAAAATCATTGTAATTATGATTATTATACACACATGAATCTGAATCAGTTGGTTTACGATTATATTTTTTTAAAAAAGACAATCTAAAATTATGTTTTGGTTTAAATATTTCGGTCTCAAACATTTTCTTTCAAACCGCTGTGCAATCACTCAATCCGTACCATCAAAATATTTACTCAAACACAGTAGTTGCGCAAATGGCTTAATCGTTTATGAGGGGCTGAGGAGAAGCTACAGCCTCTAAGAGAGCTTCAAGGCGGGGATATCAAATGACGACATTGCAAAAGTTTACAAAGTTTACAAAGATACAGAAGAACTTTTAAAACTAACAAAACAAAAGGATAATCTCATCATAATGGGTGATTAAAATTGAGTCATTGGTGAAGGATCAGATAGAAAAGAAGTTGGAAATTATGGATAAGAAAGAGGAATGATAGAGGTGACCGATTTTTGGAGTTTTGTAGACAACATGAGTTGGTTATCTCTAACATTTTATTCAACAATCGTAAAAGAAGGCGGTACACCTGTAAAATTAAATCTCGGAAGATACCCAATAGATTTTATACTAGTTAGAAATAGATTTAAACATTTTTTAGACGAGTCTGCAACCACGAAATAGCATAGTCATGTCTCGTTCAAGTACCGAATAAATTTAGAGTAGTGGTGGAATTATAGATAATGAAAAAGTATATTAACAAGCAGTAACAAGCTAATATCTAAGATGGCTACTTTATTAAAACATATCAAGTTTCTGGCTAATATTTAAGTGTTAAACAAACATTTAACAAACATAAATTTAAAATCAAATTAAAACAGAAAATTCATATAATCTTATGTGTCCGGAAAATCTCGACGTTATGCTTTAAAGGTATAAACAGAATAATAACCGTATATTGGGTCTTGAGAATCGCGAAAAACATTTTCGAAGTTCAATGTTAGAAAGCCATGATTTCTAAGTAATTATTACTATTGCTGTAAAGTTACAAAAGTTATAACCAACCTTAAACTTTAAAGCTAATACTCAAAAATTGTATTATACAAAAAAAAAAATGAATTGTGTGTTACGAGTACGCGTGGATGAAGTTAACTTCTTTCAAAGTCATTCGACCGAATTATATTAGGATTGAATTGGAATGAAATAAAAAAATACACCTAAAATTGTTATTTTCAAATGAAATGAAATTAATTTATTGTTATTATACCTAGGTTTTAATAACTAAGTTTTTTTAAACTGATTAAACCTATTAAGCGGCAAGGCGGCTGTAATAGTGATTATTTATTTATCATCAGCGCATAAGTGGCATTTTTTTATTACCCATTATTTCATTAATTATTTTTATATGAGTGGCTACTAATAAATTTCCTTAGCAATACAAAATATATAGTTAGTGTCAATTAACGATAAATTAAAGATATTTTTATTAAAGCAGCTTCATTATTAGAATCTGTCACTATGAATTGTAATGGTAAACGTCAACTAACACGTATAGCAATTTTTAAGTACATAAGTTTGTTCACAAACATTTTAACGATAATTGTACAGAAAACCAATTCGGACACCTCTATCTGTAATAGACTGTGGTTTCATAAAGATTTAATGAAACAACTATGCAACCATAAAATATAAGAGACAGCCGATAATTTTTTTTTCGTTCCCTTTATAAAAATAAAAATATGTAATATCTTTCCACGCAAACCAATCGCCCGCCTAAAAATAAAGATTAGATACGACATTTTCTTGCTCGCAAAACGTATAAATAAAATGTAAAACTTAATTATAAAAAAACTTGTGTATATTTTGTGTATTACTAGTATTGGAGTGTAAATATAAATTTAATTATACTAATTTTTCACTTTTGATCTAGACATGGAATACCATATCTTATGGTGTATACCGGAATTATTGTTGACGGGTTTCCCGTATCATCTCCAAAAGCCCTTCGAGAACTGTTCTAGTGGGGCGGCCCGGTATTGTGTTCTGACGCAAGTACGGTATTCTGTGCGGGTCGTAGTTAACGTACTGGAGTTCCATGTGGATCCACGGTATCTCGTAGCCGACGAATTTAGACAAAATTCTAGCATCGGTGCACAGAGGGTCAATGTCAGACGCATTCTTCCAACGATTCTCGCACTGTCCTTGTATATAAGGGTCGTACTGGCTATCCAAAGGGTATCTATGCACTATGTCTCCGGTGTGAGCGCTGGATGACTTGAACGTTTCCCAAATTGCTTCGTCGTTGCACCAGACCTGTGTGGCTCTCGACCCGTATTCCATTGGACCTACCCCGGGCGTGTTAGCCAGACTGACGATGGAATGAGGTTTAAGCGTACGGGCGTATTGCAAGGCATCCATCAGGGCCAAGGTGTTAAAACGCTTAGGCAAGGCCACCTCTATGGAAGTCTTGTCAGCACTGACGATTACATCTCCCGGGCAGATACCGTTGGTGATTTCGAAAAGCGGTATCAAACCTCTGACGTTGATTGGCGCTCCCATTTCCGCCAGAGTTTTAATAACACTTAGTACGATTGCTCCGCCACCAATATGGGTCTGACCTCGCAGCTGGGGATTGCGTGCCGCATGGCAATCGTCACTCGCGTACGTTACGCCTTGACCGACCAGTACGACAGGCGCTGTCTCGGAGCAGGCGCACCCGTTGTAGCTGATGTCTAAGAATTTAGCTGGCTGACATGACCCAGCACTTAGTGCCAATATGCCGTTCATGTTCAATTCTGTGAGCGTTTTTTCCGGGAGTGTCGTCACCGAGATGGCCTTGACCTTGTTCTGGACTTTTATTGCTTCGTGGACGAAGTACTCCGGATTCATCACGTTGGTGGGCACGGTCATTAGTCGTCTAACGAAATTTTGCGTTTCCGCGTAGAGCATACCTAGCGTGGCTTTGTCTTTTTGCAGGTTGTCCATGTCTTCTAAGCATATACAACTGGAAAAACGTCCATACGTTACTATTTTCGTTTGCGAGCGATTTTTCGATGTTTTTTACCTTTTATCGTCTAGATAGCACGTTGCGAAGCCGGCGGTTGAAAAGTGCGGTATCTCTTTATCGCAATCCTTCTTCTGCTCATCATTGTTATAGCTGGCGAGTTTCGCGCCTTCGAACGCCGACTGAAAATCGTCCATCTCCTCAATGAATATCTGCGAAATGCCCCGGTCTTGCAATTCTTTGGTTCCGACGCCCGCGGCAATCCTGGTGTTCTCCTTTTTCCGGCAGTACTTTCTGACGTTGTCGTAGCCGGCGTGCTCGCTGCCAAGGCCCACTAGAGCCACGAGCGCAGCCGAAACGTCCAAGTCGTTGTATATCGCAGCTTCACCCAAAACCGGGATTTTGTTGCGTTTCATCTGGTCGCTGAGTTTGCCGCAAACGACGGTGTTGTATGCCTGTGACGAACGCGTGAAATTTATCTGTATAAAGTTGTTTGCGGCTTTAGCCGGCTCATACACTCCCAGCACTATACCGCGGCTATTAGTTTCGGCTCCTGTGCAAGTATATCTTTCCTCCGGTTTTTCATATTTTGTGCAGGGCCCTACGACGGGAGGTAACGTTGTCTTTCTGGTAACGATTGAGCGAACACTACTTTGCAAATTTAAAAATGTTGAGACATGTTTTATGTTTGTAAAACGTATCAACATACTTATGTACTAATAAATAAATACACATTTATGCATCGAGACAGTTGTGATGTTTAAATGACTGAAGTCAATGACTGATGTTTAAGTGAATGAATATTAGTCAAATTGGCTAGCTTTTTTTGGCCAAATAATATTTTAACGAAATTGCTCTCTCTGTCGATAATGCCAATACAAATTTAAGTGGATCTTCAAGACGTGATAAAAATAATGTTTATTCTAGATTAAAAGACTCTATTGGTCATGATTTAGTAGGAATTGGTTGCTCAGCTCACATAATTAATTATACTATACAAACAGCTGCAGATACATTACCATTTGATGTACAAACAATAATTTCAACATTTATATATTTATAGTAGAGTTGAGTCATTAAAAACTTTTTGTGAATTTTTAGACACTGATTATTTTTTAATTTTATTATTATAAACGGGTGTTACCCTTTGTTAAGTAATAGTTAAGTAAAATCTTAATTTAACAAAAAATCATAAAAATAGCTAAAAACTATAAGGAAAACAATAATAAGAATAAGAAATAATAAAGTAATAGTAGTTTTTAACATTGACCATAACAATTATAAAATAAATGGTATCAATAAATAAATAATTAGTTACTTATTTTAAACCTTAATTAAATAATAATATACAATTTAAATAACAAGACTCAATACTGTATATACATTTTGTTTAAACATACTTCGTGATATGAAAAAAAATATCCATATGATCAGTAATAAGGTTAACTAATGACAAAACTCTAGGAAAAAATAATGCGGAACTATAGTTGTTTTTATAAAATGGAACAAAGAATAATTTCGATTTTCGTAAAGTGTGATTGGGGGTACATTAAAATTAATCATAGATAATAATTCAGGAGAATAAGTATGACCATTTAATAAATCGTATAAAAACATAATGTCAACAGCATTTCTCTTTAATTCGCAATTTGTGAAATCTAGTTGAGGGATTTGGACATTATAAAAGTCTCTTGCAATGGCCATATTTAATTTATAACATAATAATTTTAAAAAAATTATATTGAATATTTTCAATAATATTTTTGTATGAAGAATAACTAGGTGACCAGACGATTAAGCCAAACTCGAGATGAGATCTCACTAGAGAAAAATAACATGTTTTAAAAGAATTAATATTTTTAAAATTACCCGTATTCCTATATATGAATCCCAACATTTTAAATGTTTTTTTAATTACAGTATTAATATGTAATAGAAATGACATATTACTTTCAATAATAACCCCTAGGTCTCTTATAGAATTAACACGGGTGATAGTATGATTATCAATTTTATAATTATAACTTATAACATTATCCAAACGAGAGAACGTAATAACACAACATTTATTTACATTCAGTGGAAGGTAATTTTGACCACTCCAAATGACAAATTTGACTGTAAAATTAACGTGTCGGATAGAGATTTAAAAGGTGAAAATATTTTAGCATCATCAGCAAATAGAAGAATATTTACTGAGCTTTTAAAAATAGAAGGTAGATCATTTCTGAATAATATGAATAAAAGGTGCCCTAGATGTGAACCGTGGGGAACACCAGAACTAACTAAGAAATATTCAGAAATATGATAAGACACTTTTATTGCCTGTAAGCGAGAAGTTAAATAAGACTCTATCCATTTTAAAAATTTACCATGGATACCAAATGAAACTAATTTATTAACAAGTAGCTAATGTTTCACTTTATCAAACGCCTTTTGAAAATCTGTGTAAATAGAATCCAATTGACACGATCATTAAAGGCTTCAACAATTTTAGATTGATAAAGTAATACATTTGATGAAATTGATATTTTAGGTCTAAATCCATGCTGTTTTATACTAATGTAGGTTGACATAATTGCTGTCAGTTTTTTAATTAATATTGATTGGAATATTTTTGGTATAAGAGACATTTTGCTAATTGGCCTATAGTTAGAAACGTTATGTTTATCACCTGACATATGAATTGGCGTAACAAAAGACTTTTTCTAAACGTTATAAAATCAATACTTGGTCATTCTAAAACACAAAATGCTAGAAGCATATCTCAATTTCTTCACATACAAAGTGAACTATTTTATTCAGTTATCAAAATAAGAAGCAGGACGAATATGTCATTGAAGTAAAATATTTAGTAGACTCGTTAATTTCTACGATTTAAGAGATGACGGTTTAACAACAACAAAATAATATGAAAACTATAGGAATTTTTGTACTTGTTTAGAATATAAACAATATGGTGTTCCTTAATTTTCAATTTCAAAATATTTTTGGTCTCACCCCCTAAATCGGTGTGTATACATATAAAAATGAACTGCAAGAAATTTTAGGTCAATTAAATAAAGTTAACCCGTGCCGACTTGAAGTTGAAGTTTGAGCTTAATATATTTTTAAATAATTCTAGACATTTTTGGTATTTCTGTAAATATATCCTAAACCGTTATGAAAATCGTAATTTTTCATCAAATGTTTTTTCAAGTAAATTAAATTTCCAATATATTTTATAATATAACATTTTTTGATACATCTATTTATTTATAAGATGCATAAGCTTTACTCTTAAAATACACAATTTCTCCACAAATGTATTATTTACATTACATTTATAATACTATAGTATTTCACTGTAGGTTTAATAATAATAATTATAACTTACAATATCGAGTAAAATCGATAAAATAAATATTATGAATATAGGCATCATAATTTTAATTATACGTCATATTGTTGTTGAAGTGTACTTTTTTTTACAATTTGGGTAGGTTTTTCGATGTTCTTGTACACACAGTAAGACATTTTGTTTTTGCTCCTCGTCTAATGTTAATGATGCATTAAAATCTTCCATCAATTTCACTGCCCTTTCTGCAGTATCATTGATTATTGTTTGTGAATTTATTATATTTTTTGCGTTTATGAAAGTTTTATTTGATTCCCAAGATGTTGGATCGATTTTTAAGAATTCAATGTCAATTTTAAATCTAGAAAATAGTTTCAAGCTACTCTGTGATAGAAATGCATCAATATTTTTTTCTGAAAAGATGGAAAATTGATTTTTATTGTTTTATATTAATTTTTAATGTTTTTAAATCTATTCAATAAACTAGATGTTTTACTTACCTAAAAATGTATTATTTATTTGGTTTGTTTGAATAATTAATCGTTTGGTTGGGTTTTTGGCTGGTTTTTTTTTAAGTTTTTACCATCTGACGCTTTATCTCAAGTGGTATAGAATCATCAAAAAAAGGTAATGCAGCAGTTTCTCCGGTTAAGTACCATAAATGATTACATATTTTTTTAATCGATACTTTAGATATGTTTTTATCAATTGTTTCAAATGATTTCAAATCTTTTATAAATTGTAAGTCTTGATTAGGAGCTTTTGCTGGTAATGGGCAATTAAACCAAGCTTTAACATAAAATATAATGATAAAAACACAAAACTCTCCAAGTGCCTTTTTAGTGGACTCAGCAATTATAATAATTTCTAAACAAAAATATTTTCAAGCAATAAATTGCCCGTGCCATCCACCGAGCTTGATGCATAGCACCAGGTGGATGAATTGTAATATTGTATTCCAAATCACCACCAAGCAACATTAGTACTAATTCTAAAAACTCACGGTAATCTCCACTAGAGTGTTTAATTTTTAGTTTATTTTTGACAAAATTGAGAATATCTTCCTTCACATTTTCTAAAATAGCACCACATGTTTGATCTTCAATCCCACTATTATATTTATTAATATGTATTTCGTACCATTGTTTTTGAAAGTTTTTAAATTATGGAATACATGGGCTTGTTGTAACTTGAGGTATTTTAATTTCAAAAACGGCTCTTAAAATAAGCTCGTAAATATGATGTCTACACGGAAGATATAGTAGGTCTCTACCTACATTTTTTTCAATTAACACACATGCTCCATTTAAACGACCTGTATTGGACGCAGTTGTGTCACAACACAAAGCTTCAACAATATCGCATAACCCCCAATCTCGTAATGCATTACACACAGCTGCAGCTTGTTCTTCGCACAATTTCTGGTTTATTACATAATCGTCTGTATTACAATTTAAAGCTTCTCAAGTAACCTGTAGAACATATACAGAATCTCGAATACTTAACTGACATCTATCTAACGCTCCGGCCAGTTTTGGTGTTATGACATTTATTTTTCCACGGCATTCCTTCTTTTTATTTGGGGGTTCTAACTCTAAAGAATTGCTGGTCTCTAATTCCGATACATCGCTATTCTCGAGACTATCAGTTTCTAAAGTTTCCTCAAATGTATTATGGAGTGATGTCGAAGTTGAAGCACAATTTGTATTATAAGTTTTTTTTCTTTTCGATTCATTCAACTTTCGTTGAACGTGAATATTTTGTTTTATTGCTCCTTTAATATCTATACCTCCGAGACAACCAGGACGCCCAGGTAAATGCTGGTTTGAAAGAAGATGTTTATCAACTTCAATTTTAATTAATTTCAACGCATCAGAATGAGAAATATCAAATAACAAATTGTTTTTTTAAATCATTTTCTTTTAAGCGATAAGATTCACCTACTTTTTGAGCGTTTTTTTGGAGATTACGCCTTTATGACTCTCCAAGAGTCTTCGCCGCCACCGTCAAAGCGTTCCATCTTTCCCTATCCTGGGTTATATCCTTCCAATCTACTACGTCCAGTGTTCTTGACCCCTGACTTACCCCGTCGAACCATCGCTTCCTTGGTCTACCCCTCGGTCTTTTCCCACTTGGTTGGTACTCTATGGCTGCCCTCACAGTCTTTGATTCATCCCTTCGCATAGCGTGTCCGAACCATTGCAATCGTTGTGCCTTTATGTAGTTGGTTACCTTCAGGCTTTGTGAAATTTCTCGGATTTCGGCGTTTGTCCTTCGCCAGCACCCCAATTCGTCATCATATATCGCACCGCAAATTCTTCTCAATACCTTATTCTCAAAGGAGAGTAACCTATTCTCCATTTGCGCTGTTATCGTCCACACCTCGCAGCCATACGTCAGCGTCGGTCTAACTACAGCCATATACAGTCTTAATTTCGTCCTTCTCGAGAATAATTTGGATTTGAAAAACTTTAATAATGCATAATAAGCCTTTTCCGCTTTGTGTATGCGGTTTCTTATTTCTACGCTCCAGTCATTATTTCTCTTGATGGTAGCTCCAAGGTATTTAAACTGGTTTATTTTTTCAAAAACCAGTCCTTCCACTGCAAATATTTCATGGTCGTTTCCTAATAATTCCATTACTTTGGTTTTTTCTTGATTTACTGTTAAGCCCACTGTTTTAGCTTTGTCAATTAATGTGTCTGCATTATTCACTACAGTTTCTTTGCTATTGCCAATTAGGTTTAAGTCATCAGCAAACCCTAACACATCCAACTTCGATGCACCGACCTCTAGTCCATATCCGTTTTGTTGTACACTTCTTATCAAATTCTCTAGCGCTATATTGAATAGCAAGGGAGAAAGTGCATCTCCCTGTTTAAGACCTGTAATTACTTGAAACTCTTCGGATGCGGTTTAGTCTACCCTTACCTGGTACTTCGTATCTTCCATACACATTTTTGTTAATGCTATTAGTTTTGCTGGGAACCCAAATTCGGCCATTATATTATACAAGCTCTCCCGGTGTATGCTATCGTAAGCTTTTTTAAAATAGACAATACTTGCCATATATTCTGTCGAAATTCATATTTCTTTTCTATAATTCGTACGATTACTGACAGCTGGTCAATCGTTGATTTACCTTTCCGGAACCCACATTAGTAATCTCCAATGCATTTCTCTGCTATAGGTTGCAATCGCTTCAACAATATCCTTGAAAACACCTTGTACACTGTATTTAGTAGGGCAATTCCTCTGTAGTTGTTACACTCTAATTTGTCTTCTTTCTTATGCAGTGGGCTAACAACCCTACATCGTAAAAAAAAACCCTGTTTTGAAATCACCCATGAAGCCTCGGAGACGGATTGATGACCCTGGAAAACTAAACGGAAATAGGAAACCATTCATCATACATGTTAATTAACTTAATTATGCAAATTTGAACAGCTCGAATAGGGATCCGGGCTTTTTCCTAAAAAATGCAACACTCTCGTACAGCTAACGCTGCACTTTCTCTAGTAGTAAGATTAACGGTTCTCATATTGTGGAAAAATACAGAAAGTACTTGCCCGTTGGATGGAAGTTTTGAGCCATGAATTTGTGTTATTTGAGATCCAATTAAAAATATTTGAAAATCACTTCTCAGTTTTATTGACATTTTTCCTATTAAACTATTATGGATTGCTAACGACAAACACAATAATAACCTTAAATACATTAAGACGTTGACAGAACTGGAATAAATGAGTATCACAAACAAACTAATATCTATTAAAAATTATAAAGCAAGACTAGTACCTACCAAAACTTAATGCGATAAGTTGTAGATAAATAATACGTATTTCAACACATAGTGGTTAATCTTATTTCACAATCTTATCGTTTATTATTTATATAATATGAACAAATTAGGAATCAATTACACAAAAAAGTAGATAAGAAGTATTTAATATTACTGTGAACATTTTTATCATTTAACTCAATATTGTAAGTTTCCTATGATTATTATTATTAAACCTACAGTGAAATACTATAGTATTATAAATGTAATGTAAATAATACATTTGTGGAGAAATTGTGTATTTTAAGAGTAAAGCTTATGCATCTTATAAATAAATAGATGTATCAAAAAATGTTATATTATAAAATATATTGGAAATTTAATTTACTTGAAAAAACATTTGATGAAAAATTACGATTTTCATAACGGTTTAGGATATATTTACAGAAATACCAAAAATGTCTAGAATTATTTAAAAATGTATTAAGCTCAAACTTCAACTTCAAGTCCGCACGGGTTAACTTTATTTGATAGACCTAAAATTTCTTGCAGTTCATTTTTATATATATACAAATCGATTTAGGAGGTGAGACTAAAAATATATCATTATTTTTTTTTCTCATATGGCTAAGGAACACCCTAAATTGAAATTAATTTGTCAAATTTAAAGAAAATTAGTAGTGTATAGTTGGGTAAGGATCATCCTCTCTTATCAGTGATCCTCGAGGATGATCCTCCTTATCGAAAAAAATTGTTATCAATTTTTGTTATCAGTGACAATACAAATTTTGGCGTCAAAAAAATGGACGATTGTGAGTATCCATGTGGTATTACAGATTGTTATCAGTGATAAGAAAAAAATGATGTGGTATTACAGATTGTTATCAGTGATAAGAAAAGAATTGGACTGTGAAGGTATCCACGGTGGTATGATAACGAATAAAAAAAGCGCGCCATTTTAGTGTAGTTGAATAATGATAAATATCAGCAGCAGCAGCTGGCAACAAAATATTTATGAGAAATGCATTTGCGCGGGACACAGACTGTAATATCATTGGCTGTTGGATGCAACGCTTAGATACATAAAAGGGGGCTTTTAAATGGGGCCACCAGTAGTACGTCGTGAAGAGTTCTTGTAGAACGGTTATCTAGTTGTGAAGTGATATCGCGTGCGTGTGTGTACTATGAGTGGCTACGGGAAAAAAGAAATAAGAATTTTGCCGAGAAGACGTATCAACACAGTTGATACTCAGTTGATATCGGCTGCGGTGTTTACGGTTAACCTGAACGAGAGAAAATTTATTCACATCGGATGCGAATGGTCAAAAATGAACAGTGCATACAAACAAGCAATACTTATAGTACGTGCTACAGCGTGTTTGTGTATGGAGCACGATAAGTTTATCGGATTGTTGGGTGCTTTGGACAATCTTATTAAAATAATGTCTGACGATAATGGCAACGACGGTAAGAGAGCGGTAATCCCCATACCGGGGCTGACTATTAAAAAAACGCGTTGTTTTTCAAACTCGTATATGGTAATCGAATACGCTGGCCACCGAATATCATTGACTAAGGATAACTTGACGTCGATTAAACGGCAACGTGAAATAATGCGTCGGGCAGTGACGAAAAAATCGGTAATTAGTGAAATGTTAACTGACCAATGTAAAGCGTTAATAAACGTTATAAAAACCGAGGTTATTATAAGATATCTAACCGCGCCCATACAGGGTATATACAATATAATAATAAATTGGCCAATTAACCTAATGCCGAGAAAAAAACATCCGTTTTACAAGGAGCTTTTGATTTATGATCACCAACGAATAGTAGCATTTATATGGGACGAGTACTTACGGTCTCTATCCGCGGAAGAATCGACACCGCAAAGCTTAGAAGCAAAAGCAATGGACGCGCCAATCCATAGCTGGGACTTTCAACGACTGTTTGACGACGTAGTAGACGACGATTATGCCAGGTAATGTCTCTCTCTTTCGGCTGCTGCTGCTGCTGCTGCTGATGTTTCGATGAAATTATTTTAAATAATTAATTGTATTACAGGATGTGGAAAAGTGTTGGCGACAACGACGGCGACGCAGCCGACCAAAGCAAAGGGGAAAACAAAGAGAAAAAGGAAATAAGGGATCATTTGACTGATGTGAGCAAACTTATTGAACAAATTGATAAGTATGTAAAATTAAGAATGTTGAAAATATATATTAAACTAAAAATAACGTGTTTACAGGGCAGCTGCAACAACTCAACTGGTCGCGGTGGCCGACACAGTGGGCGATGTAGAAATGGAACACGTTATTTGAAAAAAAAATGTAAAACAATATGCCAGACCATTGGACGGATGTGTATTGGTGTTTGTTTTTTTATTCGATTGATAAAATATTTTTTTTAGAATATCTGTTATATGACTAGCCTGTTAATTATCTAAAACCATTTGCAATAGTTAACTTTAAAAAAAAATATGACTCGCCTGTTAATTATCTAAAACCATTTGCAATAGTTTACTGTAAAAAAAAAAAATTGTTTACCTGTATCACAATAAATGGAGTACATACCTTTTACAAAAAAAAAAGTGTTGGTTACCTTTATCCTTTTGACCGTTTGATTGATATAATAGCATTATGAAACATACTCAAATGCGTACACTTGTATACACGCAACCCGTAAAATGTAGTATATACCTTTTACAAAAAAGAGTTGGTTACCTTTATCCGTTTGATTGATATATAATATCATTATAAAACATACTCAAATGTGTACACTTGTATACACACACACACACACAACCCATAAGAAAATATAAAAAAAATGATTAGATCAATTAAGTAAAGGTGAATAAAAAAAATATAAAAATGAATAGAGTAATACTTAGATGATGATGATATAATAATAATAATAATAATAATATTAAAAAAAATAATACGAATATTGTAAAAAAAAAAATGGCTATGGACATCGGTTGGGAGGACGTTAAGCCGATGGTGACGACGGTGGCTGAGCACTAGTTGTCGGGCCGTCTTGAGTAGCCTGGGTGGAGTGGACCTCCCAGTCCACGGTAACCAACGCCGGCAGCTCCTCTGTATAGCGTAGAAGAAAAATATTAATTATAAGAAAATAGATAAAAAAAAAAATTGACTTACCCCCCGGCGGCGACTGGCCAACGACGAGAAAACTCGTCCCCAGCATTTCCATTTCAATAGTTATACCCATTCCAAGACCTTTGTATCCTAAAGGAAAAAAAAAATTGAAAAAAATTTTAATCGAAATTAAAATTGAAAACATAAAAAAAAAATTGCAACTTACCGTCGGCGAGGTATTGAACCGCACGCTGCTTTTGGGAATCGTTCATGATTGTGGATACTGTACTGAAACTAAAAACCGATCTCCACTGTGAATCGGGCCCCCGATGATTTCAGAGAAAAATTCTCTCCCACCAATTTTGAAATTAGTCCTTATTAGCAAATACAGAACAACACACACACACAGGTGTTTTTGGGGGGTAAAGAATTAAAAAAAAAAGTTGATCCTCGGAATTTTTGGCTTAACGGTAAAAAAATCAACCGGTCAGGAGATCTACGGTTACTTTGGGTTACCCGTAAAGCAGTTTGAATAATTTTCGCATTCCGGCCGGTGGCGAAAAACCACCTGGTGCTGACGGTATGCTAAACACTCGAGGGTGCTACTGTACGTCATGCCGTGCGAGTACATCTGACAGGCAGATGGTTAAAAGTGAATGCAAAAGTCGTGATAGTATTGGTAAAACGTTCGAGGCGATAATAACGGCGGCGGCGGCGTTGAATAATATTATGATATTCACAGAGTATGGTGTTGTTGATTTTTTTTGCGGGAATACCGCTCCAAATTTTTGTAACCTTCAAATAATATCATTGTTTGAAAACCTGTCTTTCGCAACGACGTTTAAATACGGTAGTCTGGAGCATGCAAAACGTTCAATCAGGTGGAATTTGACACCTGCAATAGGAGTTTGTAAAGTAACCGTATTTACGACGGACTGTCGAAAACGCGATTTCGTCAGGCGATTACTGCCGAACGAATTTAAAGTTTACTGTATTGATCAATTAGGTTGCCCGCTAATCGGGTTTTTACAAACCCGCCCGGAATACAATACAAAGTGTGGTAAACGATTCGGGCCTCCTAGCCACGGTGACGCCGACAACGATGGCAGATGCTACGACTGCTATGA